GAAAGTTACTGCTAAGGCCCTTGTTAAATGTTTGTTTGACCTGTTTAGTCACTTCGGGTTGCCGTACCGTGTTCAAACGGACGGTGCTTCATATTTTGTAGGTAAAGTTTTCAAGGAAGCCCTAACAGTTGGGTATAGTTCATTGTTAGGTAGTAGTGAAGAGAGCATTAGCGTATTAAGTTTAGTAGGAGATGTTAGAAAAGCTTCTAAGATGTTGGAGCCTTGCCGCAGACCACTTGCAGCAGTCCAAGACCAAGACATGGTAAAACAAGCGTGCCAGACACAGTTCCAGATAGATCAAGTTCTCATTCTCTTCCCGAGACATGGGCAGCCGCTCCATGCGAAGTTCAGTGGGCCATATAGAGTGGTGAAGAAGGTAAGCCCCACGAATTATATTATCTCTACCCCTGACAGGCGCCGACTACAGCACTTATGTCACGTCAACACCAAGCTGTACCACACACGCCAGCACCCCCATTTGTTGCTGATGATCCAGTTCCCGTGTGTGCCGTTGACACTTTCTTGGTAGACGGTGAGAAAGAAGAGGAAAAAGAAAGGGTATGTCCACTCGCCCTGTCATCAGTCAGGGTTTAGCAGTCCAACTCCGTGGAGTAGCAGGAGAAGCTACTGCGTCTACTGGGACACCAGAGAGCTGACGTGCTGACCGCCATCCAACAACATCCTCTTGTCTTCCAAGACAGGCCTGGCTGTACCACTGCCGTGGTGTATGATGTTGTTGTTGGTTCTACTAAGCCTATCAAGCAGGCTCCCTACCAGCGAATGGTGCTCACCAGTCACTCTAGTACCGAAGAAGGACGGCACTCTTCGATTCTGCATCGACTTCCGCAAGGTCAACGCCGTCACCAGCAAGGACAGCTTCCCTCTACCTAGAGTCGACGACTGCATCGAAGCAATCGGGAACGCCAAGTTCCTCTCTAAGATTGAGTGCCTTCAAGGGTTTTGGCAAGTACGACTGACCCGTCGTGTTAAAGACATTTCCAGTTTTGTGACATTAGGTAAAACCTATAAATTTAATGTTATGCCTTCGGGCTTTGCAATGGCTGATGTCACAAGTCACGGCCATTTGGCTTCGTTGTGTAGTATATTTAGATGATGTTGTAATTTCTTCTGACACTTGGTCAGACCATTCATGTCAGCTAGATGCTCTCTTCACTGAGTTAGAAAATGTAGGACTTGTTATAAACTTTGCTAAGTCAGAATTTGTTTGTGCTCAACTTTTGTATCTGGGACATGTAATTGGGTTGGAAACTTGCTCCTCCCACAGCAAGGTGTGACACTATTTCTCAGATGCCTGTTCCATGAAACAAACGACAAGTCCGTATATTTTTGGGTTGTGTGGGCTATTACCGGAGATATATTTGTAATTTTGCCGAGTTGGCACTACCCCTTGCTGATTTGTTGAAGAAGGGTAATATTTTTTGTTGGACTTCAAGGTGTCAGAACACTTTTGTCATATCAAAATTTGTGCAAGCAAAATTTTATTTTATTGGGGGAAGTGTTACGACCGTGTCGAATTTTTCTATTTTTTTTTTTTTTATATATACTATGCTTCCATGTTCCATATTATTCTTGTAATGATGTGTTGTATTTACTATTACATAATCTAGTCACCTTACCCTGTGCTGTTAATGTTTTAACTGTTATTATTTGTTCAAACCCATTTTGTATTGTAACCAGCATTCTTTGTTCTCTAACGACCATCTGCATCGTTAAAGGACCCACCAGCGGGTCGCGTGGCGGGAGCCGACCTTATATATAGGACCCACCAACTGACTTGAGTTAGTTCAGTCCTCTTGCCATACAGTTCACATCCTTTGAGTGACACTCGTCACCTGTTACTTATACTTAATTTATTTGTGTTGTTCCTGTCGCCACCAATGTGGTACAGTGGGGTATGCTATAACGAACGGATCCTACTACGAATATTCCTATAACGAATGGTTTTACCTATAAAATTGAGAATGCTATAACGAACGAAACTCCTACAACAAACATTATTTATTTATTTATTTTTTCTAATTTATTGTTTTTTTATTACAAATATTAATGATATTCTTTATTTCAGGGGTTTAGATGCATATTTATGCACTTTTTTACAATTTTTACAATTTTATATTATATTTTTCAGTGTTAAGTGGTTGTATTTGGGGGCCTGGAACGGATTAATCCTATAACGGACGAATGCTATAACGAACAAGGTTCTAGAACCAATTAGATTCGTTATAGCATACCCCACTGTATATCTATGTGAGTACCTATTTATGTCTCTATTTATGTCCATCAGTATTTGCTTAGATACATTTAAGTAATTCAGTGTTGTTTCACGTTAGTTAATTTCAGTGATAGTTTTTATATGTTTATGCAGTGTTAACGTAATCCAATGCTTTATTTTTATTCTTTTGATGTTTCGATGTTTAGTATCACTTGTGTCTTAAAAGTTTCGATGGTGAATCAATTTGTTGTGACAGCCTACGAGGCTCTTTATTGTGTTAATATTTAATTAATTAAATTCTTAAAGGTTTACTTTATTTATTTTTATTCCCTTTTAATTTACTTCACTTTTTTTGTTTGGTTACGCCTAGAACCTGGATATTTAAGTAAATTAAGAGACGGCCTAACAATATATATATATATATATATATATATGTATATATATATATATATATATATATATATATATATATATATATATATATATATATATATATATATATATATATATATATATATATATATATATATATGTGTGTGTGTCCGTGTGTGTGTGTAATTAATGTATGTAGTAAGTACGTAATCTTTTTCACTAAAATCCTAACGAAACACCACAATTAGAATACGGCGGTAGCTGTTGTATAAACAGTTGGAACACAGTCCCACCACCGAGACGAGGGAACACTCGCACCACCATCGTCTCGTGCGAAGCAAGCGTATAAATTAAAGAAAATACTTGCAGTGTGTTTAATATGTTACAGTATATTATAAATAAACAAATAAATCGGTAAATCCATTTCAAGTAAATGGAAAAATTTTACTCGACACCGACATTAGTTCCAGATACCGGTAAATAGCAGACGCTTAAGTGACGTCACTAGTGTTTACACTACACCAGCAGGTAACATTTGATGACTTTACTTGAAGTGAATTAGCCTTATTTTAAAAAGCCAAAGATGGTTGGTAAAGGACTACTGGGTTAGTGGGTAAGTGTCACATTTGGGGTACTGGTCTTATACAGCAAATAGAGCTCAAAAGCTACTTTTTAAATGGAAATTTGGGGGGGGGGCCGTCTTATGCACCCCGCCGCCTTATAGGCCGAGATATACGGTAACATTGCTGGGATTCTTGTAATATACTGATTAATTTGAATATAAACATGCTGTAATTTGCACTAGACATAACAATTGTAGTACCGTAATCAAATTAGTACATGTACACTCCAGCTTTGCACTAAGGTCATTTATTTCTTTTACGTTTCTTTTAGTATGATGTGTGCATGTAAATGGATGAAAATAAATGAAGAAATTTATGTAAATCTACCCAAAAATACAGTTGAAAAACTTTATACTGTATTATAAAATGTACTACAATATTGAACACTAATGTACTACAATTTTTATATCTTGAGCAAAATATATTACGTTTATATTCAAATTATTGGCTGTCTTGCAAGGATTCCAGCAATGCAAATAATAATCTAACTTTAGTCTGAGATATTATATAAAATATACACTTTAAAGCATAAAGTTATCACCAATCTTTTGTCTGGGAACACAAGGAGGGAGGTAGCCAGCGAGCATGGGAAGAGGAAGGGGGGGGGGGAGGTGAGGTGACAGTGTCTGGTGTTTGTTAATTTATTTGAGATAAGATTTGACAGTTGGCGCTGAAGGCCTGCGTGTTTATTTATCATTACTTAAGAGAGACTAAGCTCTTCTCATAATTTGCCACCTAAATGACCTGGGTGAATATAACTTACATTGCTGGGATTCTTGTAAGATAGTGATTTATTTGAATACCTGTAAGAACAATCTATATTTGCAATAGGCATAACAATTTAAGTATCGTAATCATTTAGTACATGTACAGTACAGGTTTGTTCCATTGTTAACCGAGGGACCACTGTATTGCAGTGTAGTTGTACTGTATAATATTGACTAAATTCACTAGACAACGTACACAACTAACGGTTGGTGAAACTTGTCAAGTAAGTGAGTATCAAGTCTGTCAGTATAAGTGGCACGTGTGAGTGCTTGTGTCCTCCATCATAGGAGTCCGTTTTCTCTCGCTTCAGGATGCCTGAGTCCGTTTTCTCTTAATCTTAGAGTTCAATGCACCAGAAACTTCGTTATTCCTTAGTAATAACACAGAATTTGAAATTGCAACCCCAATTGCAACTGGGGTTGCAATTGTTGAGGCAACTAGATATGTCTGATTACAGCAAATGTGTTATTGTCAATTTGTAGGTGAAAGATTTTATCCTCAATAGATGTAGGTTAACATTACACCTGCAGGCAAATGCTTACTAAAGCCTAAGGAAGGATATTCCTTTAACACATAATATCTGGCCAGTATGGGAAGGATCATCGTGTCTCTGTCAGGGGGACGTGGAGTGGTGGTCCAGCAGGCGTCACGGAAGTGTTTTTTTTTTGGTGGTGGGGGGGGGGGGGGGGGGCAGGCGGCACGGACGTATATGCGATCGGACGGTGTTCGGTTGGATGTTAACCGGTGCATGACTGTATAAGAAAATTGCCTTTATATTGAATTTTATTCCTACAAATGCAACACACACATACATCTAAAATAGTTTTGACCCCTCAGAGAGGCAACTGAAAATTTATTTTGCAGTTTATAGAAAAATCCCTAATATATAATGATAAAAACCATGTTTACGGTATTATTGTACAACTTGATTTCTAAGAAAATTAAGCGGCAGGTACGAAAACCTCATGGGTTTTCTGTATTTGAAAAGTATTAAATTTATAACATTAATTCAAATTTTTAATGGCAAAATTACATCAACTGGGTAAACTCATAATGTGTATCCAAAGGGTTACTAGGGGTAAATGATAAATTGCATATATGTACAGTACTGTACAATACCCAGTACTGTACATGCAAAATAAATAAATAATACTTCACTATAGATTCCTTTTTTGCTCCAGAGCAAGAATGATTTGGAGTTGTTAAATATAAATCTTCAAACAGAAAATGGAAACTTCACCAAATATACTTGTTTTGTTAATAATTATACTGTACACTATACTAAAAAATAAACCTTCTTAAAGGCCAGTTCATAATAATTGCCATTGCTAACTCTGCCTACCTACTGAATGACCATAACCAACAAAAGTCCCAATTTTCACAGCAAAACTCCATAACATCTCCTAATTTAGTTATTAGACTGAAAGTGCCACTGAAATGAATTACCAAGATTAATATTCTGGCCCTAAGTAATATGTTCCATCATAACTGAAAATGTGGGATTGAGTAACATTCCCTTATTCACAATAATATGTAGTGCATATACAGTACAGTTAATGAATTATATTTATATATCATTTCATATCATGCCGATACAGTTCATTGCTTGATTCCTTACTGCAGTACAAACATCTTATCCCCAACACCATTATCATAAAATATTAATTGTCAGTTACACACACAAACAGAAAAAAAACAGCATACAGTAGTTTATCAAATTCACAAAGAGGCAAGAAATTAACATACAGTACATACAGTATGATATGTGTAAACTTTAATGAAACTTTAAAAGAAACCATTAAAAATAATATCCAACAATATCAGTCTGCATGTACAGTACTATCTCGTACATTTCATAAAAATTATAAATGAGTTTAAATTTATAATGAACTGGCAAGTTTAAAGAATTTCAGAAAGTAACATTTTTAACTGCTAAATACTCTATGGTCAACTAGTTCTCAATTCACTTTGCTATACAGTACATACCTTTTCAATGAATACTTTATGTAACTTGAAATCACAAAACAGTATTATTCAAGTCGGTGTCAAGTAACACTTTAAAGAACTACTGGATATCAAATTACAACAAAACCAGACATATTACACTGATTGTTAAAAATACACCTGAAAGTTCTAGTACATGTCATCTGGTCCAATTTCTGCTGTGTACTGAAGGCCTCGTTCTTTCATAAATCGTGCCCGTAGCTGTTCCTGCTCCTGTCTACGTTCTTGTTCTACCCGCTGTGCCTCTAGGATCTCTTCAATACTCACCTTCTCCAAAGTTGCTGCTCCTTCTTTTGTGTCATCCTGAAAAAATAAATGATTATTCCTTAAATCCTATTTTCTAGCAAAATTAAAATGTTTTATTGAATAAGTGCAACAAATGTATGGTTCTGTTTACAATAAATGTTCTAAATGGCCGCTTTCAGTTTGGATACACATTCTAGTTTGCTGTTTTTTTTACAATAAATAAAGCATTTTAATTATGGTAAATCACCCTTTACATTCCAATACCCATAGTTCTGTAACTGTTAAGAATCAGACCCACGTTCTTAGAACATTTTTTACTGGTAATTATCTCAAAAATAAAATCCTGTACCAACAAAGTCATCATGATACACTCTATACGGTGACCATGCTATTCCAACTAACCTTCCATGAAATTTCTCAGTGGGTGTGTAATGATGTATGATACCTTATGAAATCATTTACTGCTCTTAAAAGATGATACTAGTAAATCACTTGACTATCATCACTGAGAATGTGGGTGGGATCAGATCAATAAACAAAGTAACAACTCACAATCTCTCCCAGTAATACCACATTTTCTCCTCGGATGACAAAAACTCCTCGATCAATGTCCCCATATCGGGTTCCTACGTGAATACGCTCTATGGTGCGATGAAGAACTAAGTTAGCAAACTGGTCGACACTGCGTAGGTATCCGATGAGTGTCCTCCCATCACGCAGGTAGACCATTAACTTTTCTGCATGGAAATATAACATACTGTATATTAGAAATGAATTAAAAAAAAAGAAGTTTGTCCTCACTATGCAGGCATTTACTCACAGACAGCATTATTATTATTTTTTTTTTTTTAATTAATTGGGCACTCCCCTACATCCTTGTGTAAGGTGAAGCGCAGAAGCGTTTACAGCGCTCAACAGGGAAGCATGCTAAGTTCATGCTTGCCTTTATGTCTCATGAGTTAAGGGCGTAGAAGCCTGAAAAGTCAAGGGCGTAGAAGCCTGAAGAGTCAGTGGTTTATGTCATCAAGTTATTGGAAGCTCCAACAACTCCCTGAATACAAATTCGCAACTTTCGACTTACAATGGGTACCTACTTTACTGCTAGGTGAACAGGGAGTAATGGGGGCTAGGAAGTAAGTCCAAACAACTTCCACCGGCCCGGAAATTGAACCCGTGACATCTCGCTTGCGAGGCAAGAACGGTACCGCTTCTACCACCGGTCCCCCATTATTATTAGTATTGTTATTATTATTATTATTATTATAATATATATACATATATTTTTTTTTTTACGGGGATTAGCCCACCCGGGCACAGGTCACTGACCCACATCAGGGCCTAGGGGCGAAAATATAATGATAAATAATAATAATAATAATATCCATTATTATTATTATTATAACTAATGAAATTAATAGCAAATTAATAAAAAATAAGAATAATAAAAATAATTGGTGTGAACATCCTACTAAATTCCCAAGTCAAAGGAGCATGATGATAAATTTAAGGCATACCGGAGTCAGTAAAATCAGTTTTAATTTCGTTAGACACACCAATTTTTTATCATAATAATCCTGAATACTTTATCTAAAACTTTGGTTAAATAAATATATTTAATAAAACAAAAGCTCTGTATGATACAGGCGTGAATATAGCTGTGTTACTTTTATCCTCTTCACCACTGATCGGCTCGTTCGCTTGGGCGATCGTCATGTCTCTGTTACACACTTCACTCAATTGACTGTAATACATAACTAATCATGTCTGACACTTGTGATGAAGGTTGGGTGGGAGATTATTGGGTCACGTTATTAACCTGACGTGATGCAACGTCAGGTCACCCAGTGTTGGGTGGAGGATTAGTGGGTCTTATGACCTGAATATGTCTTGAATGACATTATTTTTTATCTATGAGGTATATACATAGTACTGTACATGTATTAATAAGCACAGATTATTACAGTAACATATCTGTACTAATTAATGAAAAACAAATATTATTGTATGTATCATTAATGACAACTGTGAGGGGGGGTGCGGTCACTTCAACCTCTCACTAGTTCACATTGAGAGATTAACCTTATATAACCTTATAAAATGTCATTGACTTGACTTACGAAAATATAATTCTTGTAAGATAGTGATTAATTTGAGTATAAATATCCCTTCTTTTGCGCACACACACACACACACACACCACTACTACTACTACCACTACTTACTTTACTGTCACTTGGAATCGAGTATGACGATCATCCAGCTGATAGAATGATATAAATTTCTAGGTTGGTGAATTTTGAGGTGACTAAAGATACCGATACTGAACCCGCAGGGTCGTCCACATTCGTTGCACATGTGGGGGAGCTGCATCTAGGGCAGGAGGGGCGGTGGCAGCATCTTTCCAGCGTTGGCGCTTGTCTGCCTCGGTTTACAGTCGGACTGACTTGAAAGTACTGACACCTTCTCGTGTGGTGCTCCTCCAAGTGTTATGATGTGGAGTAATCTACTCCCAAGTGAGGGTTTGTCTTGAGATTATCCTTATACCTTTTCAATTGCCCACCAGCATTACGTTTACTATTTGTTAGGTGACTGTAAAGATGCTGCTTTGGCAGTCTACTGTCGTCCATGCGGGTAACATGGCCAGTCCAGCGTAGCTGTTCATGGATAATGGTAGCCTCAATGCTCCTACAAATGGTGTCAGCAAGAATACTGGCAATTGTTCTGTCTTCCCAGTAAACTCTGAGGATGGAACGTAAACTACATTAGTGAAAGTTTTCAAGTGCCTTGAGATGCTTCCTGTATGTGACCCATGTCTCACTGTCATATTGCAGGGTGGGGAGGACCACTACTTGATATACATGCAGCTTAGTAGATAATTTCAGCTCCCTACAGCTGAAGACACAGTTTCGGAGTCCGCCAAAAGCTTGAGATGCACATCTGATCCGATGCTGAATCTCTTCATCGATGTCTGCTGTGGTGGACAGAGCCAAGATACGGAAGGAGGGACAGACCCACCTAAGCGGCCAAATAAGGAAAAGGAGAAGTGGGACTATCATAAGGGAGTTAAGTTTACCAAGTACTCGATGCAGGATAAGCAGCGTGTGATTAAGTTATTTAAGAAAGGCCTAAAAACTAGTTTCCGGAAAGCACAATCAGGTCAATAAAGGCAGAATTTGTATCATTTGGAGGTTATAAATAAGAAAATCAGAGGTTGATGTTGAGTGGCCAGTCTATATTGTTATTTTCCCATTAGTTTATGTACTGTATTTGCATTTGGCAAATTTGAATTTGGCACAATTTTTCTAGTCTATATTACTCGCAAAATGCAAGATCTTACTGTACATTAAATAACATTCTTTTTTTTCTTCTTTTTTTCTACTGGGATTAGCCCACCCGGGCACAGGTCACTGACCCACATCAGGGCCTAGGGGTGAAAATGTAGTAATAATAATTCATAGTAAATAAAACATTTTAATAACAAATACAAAATTGGAAATAAAATAATAAAATAATAATGATAATAATAATAACACTGTAATAATAATAATAATAATAATAATAATAATAATAAAGAAACACAAAAATTAAAAAAAGATCAAAAGTAAGAGAAACAATTAAGACCCTGCAATTGTGTGTAAATGAGGCAGAAAGTCAGATCAGCAACCTGGGACTTGGTCACAATTTTTGTGATGCCATATGGCAGCAGCAGGGTCTACCATTAGACAACACATTATGCTAACCAGGCGGTAGTACATCCCTGTTTATTAGCTGCCTACTACCTACTTAAAACATACATATTCTTTTTTCCCCATTAATTTTGTACATAAGATAAATGAAGCTGTTTCCACGAGTGCATACGCACATACGTTGACCTCACGCTCGGTCTTACATTTTTCTCTACCAATTCATTGGTCACTTGTACTGTACATACATTACATAACATTAACCAAAAGATACATATTTTTTACATCGATTTTACTAAATCTACAACCAAAGTTAGTCAAGGCTTTAATGTACACAAAAATCAATACAATAAGCTCTAATACCCGCTCATTTCATCCCAAATACTATTGGATAATTGCTATGGAAAAATCCTTAAATGGCAACTGTAAGCTGATGGGAATCAGTCCTGTCCATATGGTATTGTAGGAGATATTGATTGAACCACACCCCCCACCAAGAGATCACAACACATACAGTACGTGTATAGTTCATGAAACACAAGTCAACTTGTGGTATGATGGATGACTCATTAATGAGTAAAATGAAATAAAATCAAGAGATTTTCAGGGATTTTTTTTAATATACTGTACATACATATACAGTATTTATGAAAAAATAAATACAACTCCTCCCTGACTTACGACAGGGTTAGGGACCCAAATCCAGGTCTAAGTCGAAAATGCTTAAATAATACATAGAAAATCTAAAATGGATGTCCGTTTTTCTTCTCAGCACCACAAAACTCTCACTTCTAAGCTTGCCAGCTATTTTAAAGTGAATTACAAACGAAAATTTTGTCTGTACTTGTACAGTTGGTCCTCATATTACGCGGTTAATGTAACCCGGAGGGTACCGCGGAAAGTGAGAAACGCGTAAAGTGAATAATATAACATATGGGATTAATTGAAATGGAGTCCGGGCCGATCCCCAAACTCCACTTTTTGACGACACACAACTATGTTGTAGTAAAAATATTATCTTAACTTTATGATGGCATGCACACACAATTAATAATTAAGAGAAATATCAATAATATTAGGTTTTTTAACACTTACATTAGTAGAAAAGATGGCTGGGCACACGGGGATGGGCGGTTGGTTCCGAGGCAGAGGGCAGATTATTGGCCCTCACCTGTATCACTTGTATCAATTGTATCACTATCCACCACAGAGGCTTGCAGGGCCTCTTTGTCAAACCCCCCAAAGTTCATATAAGTCCATATCCTCACTATAATTATCACTATCACTGACTTGGGCCGGCTGTAGTGGGTGGCGGGTGAAGAACTGGTCATGTTTTGATGACTGGGCGACCTTGTGCGCACCATTTTCGCGCCTCTTACACAACATGGCGGATGGCGGGAGGTTTGGATCCAAAAATGGCGCGGCTTGCCAGCCGCTCTCCGCGTAATGGGGTTCACGACCGCGGAATGTGAAAATGTTAGGTTCTGGCAAGGCACCGCGTTAACGGTGAAACGCGGAATGCGGGACCGCGTAATATGAGGACCAACTGTATACTGACGTTGGGACTCGAAAATACGTAATTTGAAAAATTTTTGGTACGCTGAGGCAGGTCGTAAGTGCGGGTGGTCGTAAGTCGAGTAGGTCGTAAGTCGGGGAGGAGCTGTAAATAAATAAAAATGATGAACCATCCAACAAGCTGCAGGTGGATGCTGATGATCCTGGATATGGTACTCTCACCCATGAGGAAATTGCTGCCGATGTCATCAGCGAAGGGCAAGAGGAAGCGGAGGACGACACAGAGGAAGAAGTGGAGGAAGTTCCCACCAACAGTCTCAGAGAGGACAGGAAATACTGTACCTTGAAGGCCTCCTAAATATTACGGCCAACACTGACATCCTCCGCCTCCTCCCCTTTACCAGAACCTTCGTGATATGCGAACATTAGTCTTTGACAAACTCCAGATGAGGACCCAGATGAAGAAGCATAAGATCGGCAACTACTTCTCTAGGGTCCCCAAGTGTCCTAGTGTTGCCTCCTCTACCAGCTGTCTCAAT